GCATGTACCAAAACCTGGTAATCTCAACAACCCCTCAACACCATCCTTGTGGTAAGTGTTCCTCACCTGTCCTCAAAACAAGTCCTTAAAAAAAAAAAGAAGAAAAGCCCTTAGTGCAGATCAGATCAGAGCCTCTACCAATCCTTGCAAATCCTGATCACACAAAAATAATTGTCAACTCCACAAATCTGCAATATCATGTATCGCCCAACCCAAATCTGCACGATTCGTTATCCTCTGACTACCGGTAGGACATGTTACACCGGAACCCAAAAAATCATAACTGCAGCCCTTCCTCTCCTTCGTCCCCTCTGCCCCCTCCGCCCGCCCCTGTGCACCAAAAAATTCTACCTGTGCATCAATAACAGTGGTGTGACAACAACCAACTTGCAGTGGAACTGCCCCAACGCTTGCAGCAGAGTCCTCACTTGCTTCTTCAACTGGCAGTGCAAACAAGCCCAACTGCTCACAGAGCGACAACCGGCTGCTAATGTCACAACCAACTCACAGAGTGTGACAACCAGCTGGCAGAGTGTGACAACCAGCTGGCAGCGTGTGACAACCAGCTCGCACAGTGTGACAACCAGCTGGCAGAGTGTGACAACCAGTTGGCAGAGTGTGGCAACCAGCTGGCAGAGTGTGACAACCAATTGGTAGTCTGACCACTGACACAGTTTGACAACCAGTTGGCAGAGTGTAACAACCAACTGACAACAAACTGGCAGAGTGTCACAACCAGCTGATAGAGTGACAACCAGCTGGCAGAGTGTGACAATCAATTGGCAGTGTGACAACCAACTGGCAGAGTGTGACAACCAGCTGGCAGAGTGTAAAAACCAACTGGCAGAGTGTAACAACCAGCTGGCTGGGAGTGTGACAAAAAACAGGCAGAGTGTGACAACCAGATGGCAGAGAGAGACAACCGACTGGCAGTGTGAGAACGAACTGACAGTGTGACAACCAGCTGGCAGAGTGACAACCAAGAGACAGTGGGACAGCCAACTTGGAAAATGGCAGTATCACAGGCACATGCACGGTGCACCCATCCTTTTCTTCCCTGTCATCGTCATTGTCATCATGATTTCGACCACAAATCCAACAACCGAAAAACCAAGCACTATTCAGTGTATTCACATTTTTTAAAAAAATGCAACCCAAATTGCTCCAATTTATCGTGTCACTTCACTCACTTCTCAGTACCAACGTCTTCTGCGGCTGGGCCTTCGTTCCGTTTAGGTCTATAGCATAGATTCCCGCCATCTCGGACATTTGGACAATCTGATGCGCAACACATTCCGAAGATATACAGACCGCTGCACCCAATGTCGTAAAACATGGTTAACACACATTGGGTCTTAGCACACAGTTTGCTAAGACCGCTGGATCCAAATGTCCAGCACACAGTTTGCTAAGACATTTGGACAATCTGAAGCGCAACACATTCCCACAACATGGTTAAAACTGTTTGCTGTCTTAGCACACAGTTCCTGCTTGCCTCATCCTTCTTCTCATTCCTCTGAATCCTCCCTCCTCGTCTGCCCCTGATCGACTCCGAAGAGAGAGAACATGCTGTCTCGTCTACCGAGTTCCTCCTTCCATCTTTCCATCCATCCATTCATCCCTCCTTCCATTCTTCCATCCATTCATTCATCCCTCTCTCCTTCCCTCCCCTCTCTCTCTCTCTCTCTCTCTCTCTCTCTCTCTCTCTCTCTCTCTCTCTCTCTCTCTCTCTCTCTCTCTCTCTCTCTCTTCCCCCCCCCGGCCGAGAGGGACATTTTGGACTTGCATGGGGAACATGAAAGGCGCTGAGGCAAATAAATCCCCACGCCCCCATGTTTGCTGTTCCGAGTTTGAGACTCGTTTGATTTCCAGCGCTTGTTCTCATTGATCCCCCATCTGCCCTTCTTGACGCAGCTGGAAGAGATGACGCTGCATCTCGAAAGTCCCCGCACCCACGCCCATCAGCGATGCTGTACTCGCATGGGGAAACATGAAACGCATGGGCAAATAAACTCCCATGCCCCCTGTCATGTTCTCATTTGCCATGGTACCCTCCGAAATGTCTCCGCCGAATATATCTCCATCCACAGACTCCATGTCTTCTCTTCGTCGGTTCACAAAAATTGTGATGTCCGGCAGCTCGGCAGCTCTAAATTATCAGTCAAATGTGCGTGTTTTCATATACGTATATACACGTATGGCTTCAACGTACGTATCCATTTATGTAGTATATGTACAAAGTACTACAAACAAATTGCGCAAAGCCTTCTTTTTCTTCACCCTCGATAAATCTATTCCCTCCGTCTAACGGGGGTGTAACGGCCATCCAACTTCCCTGAACATGCTTTTACACCACAACTACCTTGTCCACCCATGACATGAGTATATATTCTCATGACATGGGTACATTGAACGCATTCTCATGCACGTATACACGTCTGGATTCAACGTATGTATGCATGCTTTGCGGTTCTCGGATCACCTGTGACTGAACAAGCAGTCAACTGAGTCAAGGGTTGTTGTCAACAACAAAAAAAAAAACACAAGGTTTGGACGTCATGGATCACAGTTCCCGATAGCCGCGCATTCTCTCAAATTTGCTCCAAAAAAAAAAAGAAGAAAAAAGCCTATCCTGACGAGTGCTTCTACCTGGGGGCGGTTGGGTTGGTTGGGGGGGTT